TAAGAAGCTCCCGGCCTTGCAGCTAGAGCCTGGCCGACAGGCGGGCCGGATGCAGCGGTCCAAGAGCCCTCACTCCAACAAGCTTCTTCCAGTTCCCGGTTGGGTTTCAAGGGAATCTATCACTACTGGAGATATACATACATGTATATATATATATATATATGTGTTTTTCCAAGGGACTTTCTGTAAGCAAACGGAGGTTATGGAGGCTGAACGGAAGGTTCGGGAAATCTACTTTCCTTTTGGGGAACCTCGCTGCCCACTTCCATGATTGTTGCAAAGATGGGTCATACGGACGGTTTGTCTTTCTTTGTATTGATTGCAAAGGAACATGCTGGAAGGCCCGTATAGCGAAGTTACCGGCGAACTGAGTGAACGCTTCTGACAATGAAGAAGATCCGACTCTGCCTGCTTTAAACCAAGCTCACCTGGGAATAGCATCGAGCTTGCCATGATGTAGGTACAAGGGAATCCCTTATTTCAGACTCACAATTTGCAGATTCCATGTTGTCATGTTTGGAAAAGACGGTTGTTTGCCAGATGCACAAACATTCAGAAAGCTATGACGCATGTGGCACTAATACAGGCATTGGCAATACTGTACCTCTTGGGCAGTGAATTCGTGGTGCTCACGTTGCTATATATGTTGTGGGTTCATTTCGGGAACGCGCCAATTATTGAAAGAGACGGGTGTGCGATGCGGCAGGTGCTTGTTGTTGTTTTGGGTTTTGCCTTTGGGTGTCTTAATCAGCGTGTTTCTGGGGATGTTGCTACCAACTGTGTTTTTTTGTGTGTTTGTGTGTTTGTGTGCTTGTGCACTTGTGCTTATCCGTGCTGTTCTGTGCACTAGTGCGCTTGTGCGCTGGTACGCTTGTGCGCTGGTGTGAGCATGCGAACGTGCGTGCGTGTGTGCATGCGTGTTCGTGACAGCACCCAAGAAAGGAACCAGAGTGGAGACCCTGGCCAGAGGGAAATGCTCCCACAAAACCATGGACTCACCAAATTGAGAGAGGACAAGTAACTTCGACTGTGCCTCTCATGGGTGCTTAATTGGCCCCACATCACCCAAAGCTTTCGGTGTTCCACAGCATAGGTTCTCATGGCTTTGTAGCAATTTCAGAGCTTTCAATGATCACGTGTCCGAAGCTTTCCCTTTTGTTTCTTCTTTATTTTGTGACATGGTTTCTTGAAGGTGCCCTTTCCAGGTTGGTTTGAAGGGAAACCAACAGGCAAACCACCAGTTTGTGGGTCGCGCTATGTTTACACATACCTGTATAATAAGCTTGTATTTGCACTCTTTGGAGAAGTGAGACAAAGACGTTGACAAGTCCAGCGTCGCACAGTGAGAAGGACTTGTCAGGCAAGGACTATGTTGCTCAAGGGGTCCTTGTGGGTTCCATGGCAGCGCAGTGATAATTTGGGGGACATTTGCTTCAGAATATGTTTTATTTTCCCGTTTTGGGTTTAAAGGGAATCCATCACTACTAGTACTGGAATCGTTGTTTTTCTCATGGGGCTTAAGCACATGGATGTAAGCAAGCTAGAAGCTTTTTGTTGAACAGGTTCCATGGCAACTTCGGTCCGCTTATTTGCCTGAACAGGGGGGCCAAAGGCAAACTGAGAATTTATCCCCGAGCTGTGAGGCCTACATGCTGTGCGTGGAGGGCAGTGTGCAGCTTGAGCAGGCGCCAAACCCGAGGGTGTACGCAGACATCACCAGTGTTGGGGGTGCAGGCAAAATTGTGTATGGGGCTTCAGCCCACGTTTTCCAGAAGATGCTGCACCCCACTAAACTGGCGGTTGCCAATGTAAACTGTTTGACTCATGGCTGTGGAAAGTGAGGTTTTAGGACCATTGTTTGTAATGCCAAGGGGCCCCCCTGTACTGTGTCCAAGTAGTTGGATGGGGATCCCACTTTTGCACGCAAAGCTTTCCACAATGCTTCAACTTGACCGCCACAACGGTGTCCCGTTTTTCCCCTGTAAATTGCAAATGTTTTTCAACCGGATCGTAGGCATGGCACGCATGCAACAGATATTGTTCAAGAAGATGGTCTAACTGGTTTTGACAAACAAATGAGCCAGGGTAATCCATTTTTCCACAAAGCTTTGTTAACGGATCCACCAATCCAAGTCATTTTTTTGTGGGAAACTTACGAGGTTACCATGCACCCGGCGTTCTAGTCACGTCCGAACCACTCATCGAATCCACCTAATGTCGATCCCGGACTAATAAACCCTTTCCAGTATTAGCTGGGTGTTCGGAGCCCCCTATGAATCAACCAGGGCTGAATTCATCCAAACGCTTTTTTTTTTTTTTTTTTTTTTTTTTTTTTTTTTTTTTTTTTTTTTTTTTTTTTTTTTTTCGAGGGAGGCTGATGTATATTGTTCTAGGGGTACCTTCCCCATTCTTTCCAGGGATCCTTCTTTTCAGGAAACCATTAAAAAGGAACAAAAACAGCAAAAACAGCCGGTTTTGAAAAGAACGATAGTTGAACAGAATGGAAAAGGAATCAACCCCTAGAATTATTCTTATTCCGGCCCAGGCCGTGCAGCTTGAGGCGCACGACGCCTGCGAAGTGAAGGGCCCTACGTCCCTGGAGCCCACGGCGGGGTCCAAGGGCGGCTTCTTGCTGCTTTTCGCGCCCTGCAGAAAAAAACGGGTCGGAGAGAGAAGTGGAAGCAAGCTGTTCCACCACCGGTGTGGGGGTATAATGAGCGAAAGCCGTGTCAAAGGCCCTTCTTGGGACTCCAATTCTGAATTCAGCTTTTGGAGTTAAAGCAAAAGCGAGTTCCAGCGATCGAAGGGAAAAAAAGGGGCGAAAGCCATGAGAAAGGCCATGAAAAAGCCTGGGGAATCCACGAGTCTTTGGGACGGCGGGTCCTTCTGACGCTTTAGCCTTTTTTGGAATCCTCAAAATGACGGTCGTGCAACTCCTGTAGATTGCAATCAACACCCGACCCAAGAAGGTGAATTGCGCGCAAGAACGGAGAAAGCCTTTCGCAGGCAAATGGCTTTTCCATCGAAGCTACCACAAATTCTGAGAGCTCGCTTTGCCTCAGGGAAGGCAACCCAGTTCAATGTAATTTAGGCCTGTTAATGATTAAGAGGAGTCCCTTGAGTCACACCAGCGGGTTGCTCCCTTTTGGTTTTTCGCTGGCGTTTTATTTGTTTTTCTGTGGCCGTGGGGCGTCACTTTCAGCAGTTGAAAGGAGGAGACGCTTACAAAGCAGGATTTATCCTTGAATGCCTCCTGGAAACCCCCGTTGCGGGGTAGGGTTCCATTTTTCGGTTACCCTCGAAAGAGCCAGTGAATTCAGGGCTTCTTTACAGGAATGCATTCACCACTGCCTCAGTTGCTGTTAGATCGCCAAACTCAAAAGAGAACCATCTTGGTATATCTTGGTTTGTTTGTTTTTTCGGTAGTTCCCAGCCATCCCTTTAGATTCTGAGTTTAATGGGCGTTTCCATTTAGCCCAGTAAAAGTTCACCTTTTAGCGGGGGATCTGAAAACGGACAGCCCAGCGTTCTTTCTGATTTTGGTTCTCTTCTTAGTGGGTTTGCAATGGTTTACAAGCTCGCGTGATGGTGTTGCTTGGCGAAAGATCTCTCTGAAGTTTTGAGAGGGTCTGCCAAACTCACCGGTCATGCGAGTCTTCGCGTGAACACAGCGCTTGTTAAGGAGATGGGCGCGACCATGGATGGGCGCCAGGACTTGTGAGGCATCTCAGCACCAAGCAGCCCAGCAGCAGCCAATGATTTCTTCTTTGTCAGGGTCACTAAAAAGATACAAACATGCCAGTTGAACAAATCAGCATACCATTTGACAATTGGGAGGATCCGCTTTGAAGCAGGTGGCTTTGAGATGTATCCTCTTGTTTTACTTGCTTATTGTTTGTAGTTTCTACCGAGAAAAAAAAGCGGGCGTGTTCCTTTGGATTCATCCGCTATATAGTGGGTCGTGCGTTTCCCAAAGCAAACCACCGGTTTCAAAACAGGCCCCTTCTTCAGCACGCAGTGTTGCTTCGACCTTCCGGACATGTTGCATAAGGTTCAATATGGATCAATATCTAAACCTGTCATGTGTTTGGGTGGTTGGATTGCCCCCTTTAGGGACACCACAAGGGGACTGCCTTTGATTTTCCAGGCCCCCGATCCAAGCTCTCAGGTTTTCAGCAAATGAGGTAGATGCGGCTTGGCGTCCTAGACCGAGCGGCATCGATTTCGGGTGATGTCTCTGATTTTTGCGGGCTGTAGCCGAAGGCTTGAGCTCGGCGAAAGCTGGGGTCACTGGAAACATGATGGGCCCCATGTTCAGCTTGCATTTGCCTGAAGTGCTGCTTGATTCGTCCCATGTGGTTTAGAGGCACAGATCCTGACGGGTAAAGATTGAGTTGCTTTAGCGGCACCTTCAGCAAATGGTAGTCAGTTATTTGCCGCAAGCTGGATCCCTGGACACATGATGGGCCAGCATTGCTTGTACAGTGCAGAATGCGATTCTGCAACATGAGGGCGCAACATTGCGCAAACTCATATTAGCCTAGCTGGCTCTCAAAAGGAGCAAGCGGCAAACAGGGTTGGGTCCCAGCGTTCGCGTTTCTAAAGGCACTACGACCTGCTTATGGACAACAGATGGCCTTTTCCGGTGAGTTGCCAAGCTTTAGCATTCTGTCTCACTTCCTGAGTTTCTGGACTTGAAACTTTTAGGGAAGACAGTTTTAGTGGTAGATGGTAAATCACAATGTTGGATTCTTTTCGGGCAATCCACTCGATCGGAAGTGATTTGTTGGTAGGTATTTTCATCAGCGACTCAGTGAGCTCCGCCTTTTTCTGACCCACAATGTGTGTTTGTTTGCTTTTGAGGGTACCAATTTCGGGTTTGTTTAAAGCGAAGCCAAAAGAAACAGCAAACTCCAAGTGAGTTCCCAATTTTTGACCCAGCTGGGTCTTGCGGGGCCTCTGAAAAGCGACTCGCGAGCTGGGCTTTGCTTCTCCGCCAGATGCGGCGCGTGCAAGAGGAGGAGCGGCCTCAGGCGCGCGCGAGATGGCGTGTGGTTTTTGAGGAGACTTCAAGGGGCGATCGACACAGGGTTCTAGGGGTACCTTCCCCATTCTTTCCAGGGATCTTTCTTGAAACCTCCGGAAACCCAGGGAAAACATCCAGTTTTTGGAAAGAACAATGGTTGGCTAAAATGGGGAATCAACCCCTAGAAGGGTACGTCGTTTTTGTTTCAGTCTCTGTTGAGGAGGTTATTTCACCAGGCTTTTTAACCACTTACGTACCCGATCGCCGCTTTAAGTGCCACTTTGCTTGGCTCAAAGGGAAGCCAAAATGAAAACCGGCATTTTGCGGGGCTTCCCTATTGTTGCACACCCATGTTGCCCAATCCGGTCAGAGGATTCCGTTTAGTGTTGCACCAGTTTCCAGTTTTCTTGACTCGTGAGATCATTCGAGTAATGTCAACGTCGGATTCATCCACCCTCCCCCTTCCCCCCCAGAAGAGCAAAACTCACGTCAAACGGGTTCCAGAGGAGAAGGTGGTTTGCGGGAGAAGGTACTTGTGGGCGGCCGCTCTGCGGGATTGAGGATGCGTTCGGAAATTGGACAAAGTTTAAATGGACTGGGGTTGAAACTATGTGGTTGACTGTGCGGGAAAATTGTTCGTCCGAATGCCCAGGATTAATATATGTACTATTCTAGGCGCGGTCCCGGAGCTGTTCAGAGTTTGACCCCGAAAGCACGCCGTTGCAATCGGTGGTAACGGTTACCTCTGACGAATTAGGAAGAAGTTCCCTCGTGCGGACCCCCCTGAGTAGTCTGAAGCCCCTTCGTGCGGAACCCCCTGACTAAACTGGAAACAGGAACCTGGAGAACTTTTTCCGTCCTTCTGGGCCGCGGAAGGGGATAGGACTTTAAATGGCAAATATGTTTTGTTTTAAGCTCAATAGGGCCCTGATCCATCGACCGGGGGGGGGGGGGGTCTGTCAATGAGGAGGGGGCTGGCCTCGAGGGGGAGTCCTCCTTTGTGAGCTTGATCACCTGGGCATTTTGAGCAAACTTGAATAAGGCAAGTGCATTTTGGGGAAGCACATCTTTTTGTATGAGTTTTTTTTGATGTTGCTGGAGGCGGGGGGGTGCGTTTGCTACTCGTGCGCTGGCATTTGTTCTGAATCCAGTAGCATGAGCCTAAAGATTCCCAGGACGTCGACTCTGCTTGCCGGAAGCGAGTTGTTCCAAAGTCGCCGGGCCGCTTTGGCACGAAGGGAAGTGCCATCTACCCATGTTGTGGCAGATTCGCTTCGCTGATGCTACTTATAGGTGTCCTTTTGAGGTGATCCTGGTTCAAAATAGATGGGTTTCACTGGTTTAGATGGGTGTTGTGAACCATTTACCAGGGCCATCTATTTTTCCAAAAGGCCACCTATGCTACTTATAGTCCTCTTTTGCTGGCACGCCCTTGCCAAGACCTTCAGGAAATCTGCGCAAAACATGCTGCCCCAGCACAAGCGCAAAGGTTGAAGGTTGAGCGACGGTTTTCTAATCTTGGCGAATCATTCCAACAACGCCTTGCTGAAGGGCTGGTAAAGCGGCTTTCTGGTTCTGGATTTGTCGACCTAAGGCATCTTTAGAACACCCGCGCATTTGGATATTTGGTGTCCGGCTTCGTGCATTTGCTCAAGGCACATGGGGGTCTCACTGTTCCCAAGGACACGGTGATTTTCTCTCCCATGGGCTGTGGTGCCTCGGCTCCCGTCGCACCAGAGGGCGAAGGAGTTGCAGATACCCCGCCCAAGGCGGAAGTGGAAGCATCTCCGGAGGAGAACTGGGCTTGGAACAAGACGGTTCTGGAACGATTTGCGGTCAAAGGAGTGGATGTGCTTGGGGTTGGAAGCTACAGCGTTGTGCGGAAAGGTATTGACCTTTCCAGTGGACGGTCTGTAGCAGTGAAGGCTCTGAAAGCCAGCAGCAGCAGCAAGTTTCGGCGAGAGGTGTTTCTGTTTGATGCACTCTTCATGCCGGAAGAAGCAGATTCGAAGGGTGTATGTAGGGGAATTGAACGGTCTCCTACAGTATTGATGGGGCAGAAAGAGTACAAGAAGTGCAGAATTCCTTCTGCATCCTCCAATCCCCAAGATTTATTTGTTCAGCTTCTTGCGCACTCCGAGCTGAACTCCGTGACTGGCGATGCGTGGAGTGTTCTGGAGCTGGGCAACTTCACTTTACATGAGCCTTGGATGTGTTGGCATGTTTGGGAATGGATGTCTGATTTTAATTAGAGTCATGTGAGTTTCGTTTTAGGAGTTTTTGAGGGCAACGCCTCTGGCCCCCTTTTTCCCTTTGCGCAAGACCAGGATTTGATCCTTGCGTGCAAGGATGCAACACGCCAAAAGAGCAAGCATTGCCTTCAGGATCAACAGCAGTTTGCCCGAGTGCTGTTGCATGTGACCTCTGCGCTGGCATTCCTTCACAGCCGCCTCTTCATTCACGGAGACATGAAGCCGGCTAACATCATGTGGTTTGAGCCCTTGCGGAGGTGGAAGCTGATAGATATGGATGGTTTGCGGGCACCTTCAGAAGTTGTGGATATGAAAGATGCGGATTTTTACACTATCATCTACGCTGCCCCAGAGTTGGCCAGAGCAGTTGCCGACCAAGGGCCCTTAAGGTTGTCCCGTTGCTTGGACGTTTGGTCTGTGGGGCTCTGTGTCTTGGAGATGAAGTTCTTGCAGCCACTGCTGGAATCAAAGTTTCAATCCTGCTGCAGTGCTTCCACAGACGGGGAAGGCCTAGATTCCTTCTTCCAGTGGCTGGGATCCGCAGAAGAGCTACCAGAAGTACACAATCTCTGTGCATCCTCCGAAGTGCTGCAACTCATCGCCCAGCGGATGCTGCTAAGGGATCCATTGGAGCGATCATCTCCAGCCCAGCTGTTGCAAGAACCTGCCCTTCAACAGAGCCACGACACCTTGCCCAATGTCATGTTGGAGGAACCGCCCGAGGCCGCGATGCCGAAGCCGAAAATGGCCTTCCAGCTTTTTCAAGAAGCGCATCGAGAAGAGGCAGTGGCACCTCTTTTTTTCTCCCGTGTTGCCCGGATTTAGGTTTTTGGTAGCATTCATGTTTCCGGTGGCTTTCAGTTGTTGCTACCATGTTACAGTTGTGACAAAAGCTTGACGAAGACTTTCCATGTGGGACATGATTGTTGTTGCTTGCTTCCATTGATCTTCTGACATTTTCCTCCACCTTCACCTTCGCCAGGATCAAGTTTCTCCCATTGTTTTCACACATCTTTCTCCTTCGCAGGTGCAACAGGACGGCTTCCAGGGTGGCAAGGTCACGCAGGAGTTGTTCCGGCGCTGGAAGGTCTTGCTGTCAGAAGGAGGGGAGGAGTTGCAGCTTCTCCGCGCGCGAGAAGCCGAGCTGCGACAAGCCTACGAAGATGGACACGGCAGCTGTGAGGCAAAAAAAATGGTGGCCGAAGGGAAGAGCTTGGGACCAGTTGGGAAGCTTGACGTGGTTTCACACTTTGAGATGTTGGAGTATCTTGAAGTCCCGTTTGGGTTCTTAGATCGGCTGAAGATGTGGGAAAATGTAGGAACAGGGTGCATCAAATGTCAAGCTGGAGAGAGCGCAAGCAAAAACATGTGAGTCGAAAAAAAAAAAACAAAACAACCCCGTTGTATGTGTCAATGTAAGGCATGATCCCAGGTCTTTTGGACCTATCAAATTAGCTGCACCGCCGCTTGGAATTTGAATGGCAGGAGTGTGTTGCAGGAGCGGCCGCGCAAGTCAAACATGGGGCCGCGCAAGTAAAGCGCAAGTGAAGCGCAAGTGACGCAGTGATGATTCATCATCATCATCATCATCATCATCATCCGCATGGTCGAAAGAATCCGGAAGATTGCTAAATTTTCGCGCAAGTCGCGCGCAAGTCGCGCGCAAGTCGCGCGCAAGTCGTAGATGCCTTGGATCAGGAGTGGCCGATTTCTGTAGTTTGCATTTTCTTTGTTTCTGGAGATCCCAGCAATGAGTTGCAGCAGCCAGCAGCAGCAGCAGCCAGCAGCAGCAGCCGCAGCAGCAGCAGCAGCCAGCAGCAGCCGCAGCAGCCAGCAGCAGCAGCAGCAGCCAGCAGCCAGCAGCCAGCAGCAGCAGCAGCAGCCAGCAGCAGCAGCAGCAGCCAGCAGCAGCAGCCGCAGCAGCAGCCAGCAGCAGCCAGCAGCAGCAGCAGCAGCAGCAGCAGCCAGCAGCAGAAGCCAGCAACAATTTGCAGCGGTGTACACACCTGAGACCTCATACACTTAAGGGGCATGTTTTTGGGGGACCTCACTCTTATGAAGACCGCCGCTTGGATTTGCAATGAAAACATCCTGGGATAAGAGTTTTAATACGGGTTTTTTTTCCAGCTCATGTCAAGGAATTCTCCCTTCGTGTGTCATATTTCCTGAAGCCTTTGTGAATCCTGTTTCTTTTTCGGTCTATGCATGGCAATGGCACCTTGCACAATGACATAAAAGGGGACATGTTTTGATTCCTGCACGCCAGGCTTTTTGAAAGCAGAGATTGCCTCAGTTGTGCGTGAGGGGAAGGTTCAACTAGCTGCCTATGACCTTAGAAGCTTGACAGCAATGGGACGCTAGTGGTGCCGTGTGCTGGGGTGTCTAGTGTCTCCTTGGGCGATCATGTGCGGGGACCTGCTGTTTGTTCCTGCGTGTCGTATGCTGTTGCACTCGTGGCCATTGTGGCCCAGCAAGAATCCAGTTTTCGGGTTTGCTTTTTTGCCGAGGGTTCCCGATGCCTCACTTTTTTACCAGGGTCACTGGTTGCAACGATCAAGCATTGCCAGCAAGAGCGCCTTTCCCTTCCCAGAGCCATTCCCCACTTCCCACTCGAAGTCCTGGTCTGGTGGAGTAAGTTTCTCAGCGAACATTGCACCATTACCCGCCCGTAGGTTAACATCGATGACACCAACAAGTTGTCTCCTCCAGAACGAACGGGGTAGGTGGTTGGCCCAGACGTCCAAGGAAAACCATGGCCCCACATGAAACCCTTTGGCCATTTGACATGGCAATTGCGCTGCAATGTGTCTTTTTCTACCCCTGAAACAGAACAATCCGGTATTTTCAGAACAAAAATCATTCCGTGGTTAAAATTGTCGCCAGTGACTCGGCTCCAAACCACCAACTAGAGGGATGCTGGGGACAAGGATCCTTTATTCCGTCCAAAAATCCGCGAGGCGGACTTTGGCCGCGTGCCCCAGCCTTTGCCGTCCCAGTGGCGAGTGCCGGGCTCGGAAAGCATGCGGACAAAAGCGCCCACCAGCGAGATAACAGTATATCATATCTGCTCGCCCGTCCCAAGCGTGTTTATTTGAGCTAAGACCTTCAATCAACCGTTTGGCTTGTGGCTTGTGGGTCCAAAAAAGGTTCCTCACCTTGTGCATTTGCACTATTTATTTGGCTCCCGTGAAGTTCTTGCTAGCGGTCCCTTGGTTCAGGTTGATGAACCCAGCATGTGCAATTTAATCAGCAACGATGTTGCTCCAGGGACGATCTCGTGGTTATCTATATATGTATATATATATATATTTATATGGCAGAGGTGTTGCCTGGAAGGGCCTCGAGGCGAAACCCACCCCTAGGCCACCCACCCCTCCCAGCAATCGCTTTCCGTGGATGCTCCCAGGCGGACTTCGAGCTGAGTCGGGCCCTCAGCCTCCCCAGGCCCCTCATTTCACAGGGCGAGGGGGTTCTGGCGATACATCCATTGGGGGTCCCATGTGGTCAGCAGGTCTGGTCGGTGAGAATCCCGGCGAGCATGGAAACAATAAACATGATGATGGGCACACTGCATACGTACTATCATCCGGCAGGCAGAATCATGGGGGCTCGCTGGATCATGGGGCGCTTTCTGCACTCGTTTTACCCCCGGGTGAGCTTGCTGCAACTATATAGTCCGATCGAGTGTCAGTGTTTGCCTCGCATCCTGCCTCGGCAAGTTGACTTTGTGGATGTCCAGTTTCCGTCTACTTTGCTTGTTTAAGCTGGAGGCTAAAATGTGCCGTTTGTTTGACTTCCCCGAGGAACAGGAGGATGTTTAAACCAAAACGGTCTAAACATGTTTAATTGTAAATTCACAAGGTTGACCTTTGACATGCCCTTTGTTCCTCTTTCAGAAGGGGATTTCCTTTAACATCAGCTGCCGACCAAAGTGTGCCTTCTTTTTTTCTTTGACCACGGGGGTCAGGGCAAGCGTCCCGCACGCAAATCCAAGCGGGCTCACATGACCCATAGCCTAATAGCCTTCCTTTGTGTGGCTTGGATGGGGGATTCGGGGCCGCTTTCCCGTTTGGTTTCATGAGCTAGGAATTCAAATCCCCCAATCCGATCCACCAACTCTTCCTTGGTCTGACGCGTTGCACCATTTTTGGAGATTCAAAAGTGGGTCTACGTGTCACTAGGCATTTCTTACTTCCAAACCACCAAGGCCCCATGGGCTATGACCTGGGCGGCGGTGCCTTTGCGGAGGCAGGGGAATGGGAGGGTTCCGGGTGCCGATCACGTGCTTGGCTCGGTCACAGTCGCACTTCCCTTGCTGTCCGAGTTAGTTTTTTTCGACACTTTTGGGGTCTGCTTTTCCATTTTAGTGGAAAGCTCAGCTTGGCACATGTTTGGGAGCCCGTGCGCCGCTCGCCCACCTCTCCGGAAAGGAAACCAAGGGGGGATGGGTAATTAGTTCTTGAGCTCGGAGCTTCCAGTCGCCACTAGGTAACACAAACCATGACTTGAATTTACTTGAATCCTGACGAGACCCTACAGTTACCTACTTGCTTCTGATGGTTTCAATTGGCTACCTGGAAGCACTCGCCTTTGGCCTGCACTGGAGGCCTGGTTTCCGCGTTCCCTTTTCGCAGTTTTTGGACCCTGTGCCCCATCAAATGTCTGGTTTGTCAGGGCTCCTTAAAAGATCGATACATGTTGCAACCATTTGAAATATGTGGCTTGTTCAACACCAAAATAAGGAACTCCACCATTTACAAGTTGCAATGTTCAGGTGTATAATGTAAGGATCCCTGTTTGTCTGACCGATTTCGGACCTGGGGCTCACTAAATGACACCGAGAGATTGTATTTTCGACCTTGGTTTTCCCATGCTAGGTCCAGTTTAAGTGAACGGTTCACTGCCTTTGCCCAGAATGCCGTTTCAGTTTTGGTGTAGCTATCAGTCTTTACCAGTTTACCAGTTTTGGTGTAGCTATCAGTCGCGGGTCAAACGGTTACTGTAACCTGTTATTTCCAGGTTCCTTGAACAAGCACCAGCAGTAAATATGACCTTGTATCAGGCAACCAAGGCATGTCGCTCTTTCGACCAGGTCCACTGGCTCAATGGTGTCTTGTCTAGCTTCCCGAGTTTCGTTGGCTTGCTTCCAGAGTTTTTGGACTTTAGTCACTTTTTGGGGAAGGCCATCTCAGTGGCAAACAACAAGTTTGGACTTGCCTGGCACCACTCAGGAAGTAAGCTTTGTATTTGTGTTGGGGGGCGGCAACGTATAGCAACCAGGGGCGTTGCGATTTCACTCGGCAAGGAGCTTTGTGGTGCGTACAGTGAGTGGGCATGCGCCCTTGGCATTGGGCGTGTTTTTTGAAGGTACCCCTTCTTGGGTGGTTCTAAAGGGACACCAAAAGGAAACCCCACCATTCTCGGGGGGTCCCCGAAGCAGAGACATCCATTTGAGGAGCTCCTTGCAGGTGTGTGGAGCTCGAGGAGTTGCAAGAAATGTCAAAGCAAACTTACTGAAGTGGGCATTCGGTACTTCAAAACTAAGTTTAGCCATGAGTCATGAGCATTCGTTTGTTTAGCCCTAGTATCAAAATCCACTCACCAAACCTCAAGTTGCTTAATCGCTCTGAAACAAATGAGAACATAGTCCAATAAAGATAGAGATTCCCTTTAAAACCAACGGTGCAAAATAATAGTTTTGTTGCACAAAAACATATGTCAGCAAATGGAAGAAACAATGGTTGACCAAGGAACGAATGCCCATACTGTGGATGGATAAAATCCTGCACCACCTAAGAAACCCTGGAATGATTCACTTCCCCTGCAAATACCAACAAACAATGGTTTCCCATAGTTTCAAAGTGCAGGGTTTTGTCCATCCACAGTATGATCATGCAGTTTTCCATTTGGCGGCCTTTGGCTTCGCGGTTCTCCGAACCCCGCTCGGGGTTCGGGGTTCGCCAGCGGAAACGAGCGCAGGTGTTCCGAGTGCAGCACCAGCGGAGTGACAAGAGCTTCGCCGTCAAGGCCGTGCGGAGGGGAGACACGCGAGCCGGTTTCCGGGGGTGCTTGTTACCCCTTTTACAGACCCGGACAAATGAACCCAAAATGCCTGCTGATGTTCATACCCCTCTCCCCAAAAGGGGTATATACCCCTTATGAACTGGGTTGGAAACCATGGAAGCCAAGGGGTATGAACAAGGGGTATGTTCTTCCACCCTTACACGGTTCCAAGATGAGAACCAAATGTCCAGGGAGGAAGATTGGGTTTTTTGGGCCTGTGGATTGGTTTTGCGGTTCCTTTGGTTTCCCTTTGGTTTGCCTTTGTCCTTGAGCAAGCGCCTACTCTTGTGACAGGGTTTTTGGATCTTATTGGCTTCGCTTTTTCTACATGGCTTGACGAAAAAGGCTCCATCAGGGTCACATTTGGCTTCTTGCTCCTCTGGGCAAGCTTTTGGTGTGTAATAGTTTAGTGCTTTGGCTTTGATCTTTGTAGGACAAGACTTTGAAGTCTGAAAAGCACCGTCCGTTTTGCTTTGGCATCTCACCGCATCAAAGTGTATTTGATTGTGATCTGGAACAGCTTTGACATGCCAAATCCCCTAGCTTGGCCGGAGCGTCCGGTTCATTCTCAGAGGGCTTGGTACTTTCGCAACCTTACATGCCGAAGCCTGGAGTAAGTACCCCCAATTGGCCCCAAGGGTACCGTGAAAAAGGCACACCTATACCTCGTTATCGCTTCAGCTCTTTTCGCACTAATGAGGACTTCTCTAAGACACACCGTGTTTAGTGTATTTTCCGTGGTTGACCCGGACTTTGTTTAGAGCCAGAGTGGTGCTCTTCAAACCTGCTTGGAAACTGGTGAATTGGTTCCCCTGATGCAGCGGCAATGTTTTTCCGGATGCTTTCCAGAAAGGAAGCGGCGAACCGTTCTTGTCGAGTTAAGCAAAAAACACCTGGAGTGCTTTTCAGGGAGTTCCTCCTAAACTTGCTGGTGCTCAGGAGGCAATGAGGGAATGACCCCTATAAACCATCCCCATTCCATCATCTTTGGTATCCAACAAAAACGGCTCACTCTCCAACACCGGTTCATTCCATTTCTCATTCCCTACCTATCGCACCGATCGCAAGTATACGATGTGATCAAGGAAGTGAGGGCCCGTCGCAGGTGATGCATCGCCCCAATTTCGCCATGCGCGGCATTGAGCCCGGCGCCCAAGTGGCCCCGGCAGTCTGCGCGAGAGATTTGGCTGTTGCTGGCGTTGGGCTCTCCTTAAACGATTTATAGTATAGAAATAGCGTAACCTAGGACGGGCCAGGTTCCAGCATTAGGGATCCCCTTTGCCTTTTGTTTCATTTTGTTTCCGTTTGAACCACCCCAAATGGTACGGATCAGGATTACGGATCCCCTTTGCCGTTTGTTTCCCTTTGAATCCACTTAAATGAAGGACACCAGCTCGAAGGGATCCTCTTGCCCATCACCCCCTGCAAACACCCCGCAAGCACCTCACCCTCACTCCCTGAGTTCCTGGACTGTAAGCAACTTGTTGGGCTCTGGACCATTTTGCCGGCAAACACACAGCTTCTGGTCAATCCACGAAAAATCGGAAGTGAGCACTCCTACCCTCAAGAAACCCAAGACACCCCCCCCAACCGCCCCCCCCCCCCCACACACCCCGCGCTCCCCCCCCCCCAAAAAAAAAAACAAAAAGAAGAAGGAGAAGCAAAAGCACCCCTCCCATCCCTGCATTAAATACCCTCGAACCTCCGGACTCTCACCACCAAGGCGCCAGATCGAAGCGGAGATCGAGGCCATGCGCTTGGCGGCCGGCCTCGCCCGCGACTTGAAGGAGATTAGCTTCAGGTCCTGCGACCTACAAAACGCACGTCAGGGAAGTGGTGAATCAGCCAGCTGTGATTTGCTGAGAGGGATAGGTGTGAGTTGTTTTATTTTATATGTTCCCCTGCTTTTAAAGGTGGAATCGATTTCACTACTGGACATAGTGTTTGTTTAGGGGACTTGAGCAAATGGAAGTCTCTCTTGGATTTTCGGGCCAAGCGGTTGCCTTCTCTGTTGCGCACAGGGCGCAATGTAGGCCTTAGACCTTTTGGAAGCTAACTTCCTGTGGTTTGTTTCGGAGTTAAGTCAAGTCGTTTTTTTGGGTTTGGGCCATTTTGGTTGTAAAAAACCGAGTTCGGACTTTGTTTGGGCCATCCAGTCAGGAAGCGAGTAAATGGCTGTTCCATTGCCTGCCAGTAAACACCAGAAAATGCAGTTGGCCTAAAAAAAGATATGGTGGTGCATGGGAAAAACACTGGTTTTGAGAGATTGCCTTTTTGCATGGGGTGTTTTCAATTGTGCTTGGTTGTGTTCCTCTGTTTTTTTTCCGGGGCCAAATTCGTAAAGCCCGGTTCTTCTTGTCAGAGCCAGGGTTTCACAGAAACAATCATTTGAAGCCAGGTTTTACAAGGCCAGGGGCGGAAGGGGAGGGTAGAAGAACTACTTGATGGTATGTTTCCCGGTTGTGGAACAAACGGGGGTTGAGGTGTCATATAACCCAGCGAACTCTCAGCAATGTGATTTCTCACAATCATGCCAGTCTCTCATGTTTCGACCAATGTTTCAGTACAAATCAATCGTGTTCACCAGTGTGCCTTGCATGAGCGAGAGACATACGGCCATAAATGCCATACAAAGTTCGCGGGTCTTGGCAGCTCAACAGGTTTGCAAGTCTTTTTGTACAGCTTCGGCTGCTCTCAGATTGCAATTCAGGACGTGTTTGCAGGTCCCATACATGGAGTTCAGGTGCGCGTCACATTCAAGCGGTGACTAAACTGGAAGCCACTGCGCAGGATGTATGCTCATAACCGGGGCCCCACTGTCTTAGGTTTCAGGTTCCCTTCCCCCCTCCTCTTCCCGCAGTGCCCCACGAAAATGATCAGTCAACATAAAACTGGTTCGTGGACCCGGCCCCTTAGCGGTGGATGAGTAAAATTTGGATCACAGCGGTCCGTAGCAAAGTGTGGTGACTGTTGGTGTTTAGTTTGGGCCAGGGGCGAGATGGTCCTTTTCTCCTTTCCCGGTCACCCATCTGGGCTTTCTCCTCACGAGGAGGAGATCCACATCTTGCGGCTGCTGGACGTGTGTGAGGAGGGAGAGTACGCTGGGGCCCTTAGAGGGATGGATCCAGAAGCATTTTGAGAGCGCTGACCCTTGAGATCCCAATTTGCTTCTTTTATTCGTTTTGAGCTCTGCGATGCAGGGGCAAAACGAGCGACAGCCAAGATGTAGGTATGCTTTGCGGGGGATTCCCCATTTCAAGGTTGTGGGGCCAAGCTTTCATGTATGGGTCTGTCTTTCTTGAATCGCCGCTTGGGGGTGTTGCAAAAGGTGAGGCGGGAAAGCTTACTAATAACTAGACCCCAACCGCAGACCCAATGGCCTTGGCCATGGCTTAGGCTCTTAAGCTGTAAGGGGAGGCGTGGTCGGGCGGGTAGGTTCCCTAAATTCCCCATGGCTGCAAGCTAGTTGGATGAGATAGTGGGAGCTGCAACTCTGGTTGGACGCTAAGCCGCCACAAGGCATTCGAGGCATGGAGCGCCTTGATCCGGCATAGCCCACATTGCAGCCCTTGTTACTATCCCTGCGGAGTTGAGGGGCTTGAATTACATTCCAATGATTCAAGCCCTTGTGTTTCGCTTCCTCCTGAGGCTTAATGTTGCCCGAGGCTTAATGTTGCCCGAATAAAACCCTCATTGATTTGCCGGGGAGATAGGCTAGTTTAAGATCGCTTTGGAGAGAAACATGTGCCATGTCACCCGCAAGATTCGACTTTTCATGTGGGTAGACACAGCTATAGGATCCCAACCCAAAACCCCGCTCCGAGCCACCATTGCGCTATGTACATTTGCAAACGAGGCACTTCAAGTCAGGGCCCCTTCAAGGATACGTCGGGGCAAGCTACACAATCACTCACCTTCACCAACTGACGTGGATAGTGCCCTCGTTCAGGTTCGGTTTGGATGTATCCTTTAAGGAAGCCTATGATCAAGATCGAAGCCTGCGCAGTGCAAGGTGTACTTGCTTCTGGAGCTTTGCGAGCAAGGCGGGGCCCAAGTACCACGCCATGCCCCGGAGAAAAATATGCAAGAGGAAGCAAGGTCCACCATCGATAAGGGGGTGTTGCTACATACTTATGTTGCACTCTTCTCGAAGAAGAAAGCACTATATGCGGGTGTTGTTTTGTTGGGGTACCCCTTTTTGGTTGGTGTTAAAAGGGAACCCAGAAGGCAACTACTCATCTGCGCTTCTTTTTTTTGGGGGGGGCACCATTTAGAGACACACTCATGTGTATGTGTATTTATATATTGTATATGTGAATACTTTCCGCTGGGCGTTTTTGGCATCACCTGTTGCCAAGGTTTGGGGTGATGCTTAAAGATATATTTTTCAGGAACCCTGATCGAAGAGACAGCAAGGCGGGATGAATGGCGATGTCAGAACTTGGGACGCTTGACAAGCAACATGGGCAGAATGAGGAAAGTTTCCAAGGTGCCTTCACGCCAAGTTGTTTCAGGCTGTCGCGCACTTGACTCCGTGACCGTTCGGCCCTTTACCTACTTGTAGCCATGGCAGCGTGGCCACTTTGAATTCCTGTCCTGCCAGAGAGCTTAATGTTCTTTGTGAGATCGGCCTTTCGACGCCAAGTTTGGCGTTTGTTTCCAGCCAGGGCACCAAACAAAATGCCACTACAAGCACTAGGGGCCCAACTTGGGGACTATGGGTCCCAAGTTGCATGCCCTCCCTGCAAAAAACTGATCCAAGTGGATTCCCTGCAGAGCCTAACTCACTCCCAGAGTTCACGGACTTTGTGCTTTTCAGACGGGCAAAAACAGACAGTTTGGGCTTATTTTGCCAATATACAGAGGGTTTAAACCTAGCGTAAACCACGAGGGCATGGCCAGTTGTTGATGATCCTGACATCCAGACCATTCACCCATTTGACCCCTCTCCTTTGCAAAACGTGGGCTTTATTTGCCAAATTCAATAGCCAGCAGTTTGGTTACCAATTTTTAAACATGAGTTTCCTCATGGTGAGGTGAATTTGCTTCGGGTCAAAGCACAGTGGAGAAGCCCATTGCAAGCATCAGCGAGCGGTTTGCTCTTCATCCTTTTCCGTGGCAACGGTCGCCGCGTGAGTGAGTATTTCACTGGTCAATGTCACAAAGCTGCTACCCCCAAAGGAACACCCAAGCACACCGATCCTAGTCTTTTGTCGACTTGCGTCTTCCCCAAAGCGGTGTGCTTCTTTGTTTGGGCACAAGGGTGCGTGAGAGGAATGGTACATGTCTTCCCTTTTTCTTTTTTTCGGGGTTTGGGCTCCTGACATGTCGAACCAAAGTCTCATAGTCTCATGTTCTACCATTCGGGCCACTGACTGCAACTGGGGATGTCGAGTCTCCTGGCTCCTTTGGTGAGTTCCGTTGTTTTTCTTTGGTTTAAACATCAGCTTTTGGGCTTGTTCAGGTAAGTTTCCCCTTAGACGAACAAATCTGAGGGGAACAAAAGAGCTCCCCCTCACCCCGCGCCCCCCCCCCCCCCGCCCTGTCAACTTGTCAGGTGACCTGCTGAGAAAGCTCAACTGGGAGCCCACGCAGCGCATTGCCGAGCAAGAGGCGGTGATTATCGCGAGGGCCTCAAGGACTAAAACTCCCCGAGGTGGACTTGCGACTTTTGGGGGTCTTGCAAAAGCGACTTATGTGTCCCACTTACTGACGTTCCTGGACTGTAGTTACTTGTTGGGTTTGTTTCTTTTTTGGTGGCAAATGAGAAGTTCGGACTTTTTTCCGGCCAAGCCACTCGAGAAGTGAGACTCACTTGCGCAAAGCGAATCGACCTTTTACCTTCGGGTTTCCCTGATTTGGCTACTTTTTACTTTTTTTTGAAGTAGAAGTTCCAAAACCTTTTGTTTCCACGCCAGTGGGCGGTGCACATAGGCCCTGCTGCATGTGCCCACCGCTAGCAATTAGTATAAATGGTCCTGTCTCCAGCGCCGCCGAATGTTTTACGAAGAGTGGTGGGCGACCAGAACCCAACGTCAATGGGGTTTGGGCGGTGCTCATTTGTTTCTATTTCAAGAAACGTAGGGAACACTACTTCACACGGTGCCGGCCGGATGGCTCTGGACAGCTGGGATTTTAGGTTGCCACTTGTTGGCAGGTGGGATGGGAGTCCCATGTCTGAAAGGAATCTTGTCCAAACCAGGACCCCGAAACGCCTGGTTCCATGTTAGCCAGGAGGGTAACCCATTAAACCTACAAAAGGTCTTCCAACATTTGGCTCGATCCCCACCGCCTTAAGAATCGAATTGGGAGCGGGGGGAGACCCCTGGAGATCTCCATTCGTGGTTCCGTTTTCCTTATGGGGAAGACTAGGAACTTTCCAGAAACAGCTCCCCTTTTTCTTTCGATTTGTAGCTTCTTCGGGCCCCCTTTGTTTTCCATGAACCAGGCAGCACATATAGCTTTTTTTCTCCTGCTGGGGTCCGAATTCCAGCCAAGGCAAGATGGCATTGGGCCCCTGCTCCCCCATCATCCCCATGGGTCGGGGCATTTGGCTCAGAGCCGGCCCAAGGCCCAAGAGCTGATGATCGGCTTGAAGCACGTGCACGAGCCCTTCGGCTCTTCAGGGCCCAAAGGACCGCCCAAAGAGCCCCAAGGAC